ACCCGAATTGTGTCAAATTCCGTATTCAAAGTTCGTAATGGGTGCTGCAGCCTATGCCTAAAAATTTCGTATACAGATCCACGCCTTCGTATAGCTCCCGTATAACGGCACCTCCCGATATTCGGTATTTTGACGATTTTAGCGACATCATTCACCCGAATTGTGTCAAATTCCGTATTCAAAGTTCGTAATGGGTGCTGCAGCCTATGCCTAAAAATTTCGTATACAAATCCACGCCTTCGTATAGCTCCCGTATAACGGCACCTCCCGATATTCGGTATTTTGACGATTTTAGCGGCATAATTTACCCGAATTGTTTCAAGTTTCGTATTCGAAATTCGTAATGGGTACTACAGCCTGTGACAAAAATTTACTTATGCATGTCTACGTCTTCGTATAGCCCCCGCATAAAAGATCATAATTTAAAGGGCATTTTTCGAAATGTTTTGAAAATTTTCTAGCTTTTTGTGGGTGGTATTAAAAGCTACTTTTTTACTTGTTGTTGTTATTTTCTACAGGCTAAAAAAATTCCTAGCAATGGAAATCGTACATTATTTGAGTGCCTTTGTATTTTCCATTAAAAATACTACTCGCCCGTGTTCAACATGTAAAAATTTATTATCGATATAATTGCATGGAAACCTTATCGCTTCCAAAAGGGCAAATCTGGGGAAAATTTCCATTTCAAGCTATTTTTTTCCAAATAAATTTGGTTTTTATTTATTTGCAAAGATAAAACTATGTCCCACCCATTAAAATTGTCATTAAAGTGAAATAAAAAAAATTGAGCAAATTTAAAATTGATTTAAAAAAGGGATTGGTTTAATACTACCCAAAAAGTAAAAGTGAAATTTCATATCATTGTTATTCTAGGTTAGGTTTATGGCCTTTTAATGGCAGTAATATTCACACGTCGATGCGTGCGTTTTATTTGGTGTACGTATGAATGTTTGCAAATCATTGCTTATGACAGATCTTTAAATGCCATTCCTACTTGTTATTTTAACAAATTAACAAGCCTTACAATGTTTAAAATGCATCATTTAAAATTAGTATAAAAATCGAAAATTTTATTCGTATTAGGGAGAGAGAAAGGAAGAGGAATAGATAGAAAGAGAGAGTGAGATAGAGATAACGAGAAAGGGGAAGGGAGGAAGACAGAGAGAAAGAGTAAGAGGAGAGAGAAAGAGAGAAAAGGTCATTGAGCACATTTCAAAGTCATTGAAATGGGGTCAATGACCTCTTGAAATGGTCATTGACCCTCTCTCTCTATCTCTCCCTCTTTCCCTCTCTCTTTATCCCTCTCTCTTTATCTCTCTGTTTCCCTCTCTTTCTCCATCACTCCCTCTTTCCCTATCTCTCTATCACTCCCTTTTTCTCTCTCTCTGTCTCTCCCTCTTTCCCTCCCTCCGTCTCCCTGTTTCTCTCCTACTCCATCTTTCTCTCTCTCCTTCCCTCATTTAGCTTGGCCCCATGTCAACAGGTTTTTTACCCCATGTCAAAAGATCATTGACCCAATGTCATTCATTCTTTCTCCCTTCCTCCTTCTCCCTCTCTCTCTCTCTCTTTCTCCCTCTCTCCCTACCTCTTTTTCTCTCCCTCTTTTTCTCTCCTTCTTTCTATCTCTCCTTTATCCCTCCCTCCTTATTCCTCACTCTCATTCCCTTATTCTCTCTCTCCTTCTCCCTTCCGACCTCATGTCAGGAGGTCATTGACCCAATGTCAAAAGGTCATTGACCCCATTTCAGGAGGTCATTGACCGCATGTCAGGAAGTCATTGGCTCCTGTCAGGAGGTCATTGACCCCATGTCAATAGTTCATTGACCTCATGTCAATAGGTCATTGAAATTCCTTTCCGAACTCTATTCAGTTTTTCAAGTGAGATTTTTCTGGAGGAAAATACAATTTTGATTGCATTTGTGATTTTTCGCAAGGTTAACAAACTTGATTCATTATCAAATCCAGTGGGTTAACCTTCAATACTGTAAACGTACTTTACAGCCTTAATCGCCCGTCTGAGTGACCTTATTATTAAATTGGCAAATATGAAAATCACTTTTGTTTAGCTTACCTTAACAAGCATATGGTTTTAAATGTAGTTTTTTTTACTTTGGTATATGTAGACTATACTGAGGGTACAATCCAGGCCAAGAGCCAATTTTAACTAAACTTTTGGATTTTTACTGCTAACATCAAACAAACAAAAACCTTTCTTCTTGTTTATCCAAACATCTGAACAAAGACCAGTCACATGCATATTGCTGTACATGTAAATTTCTTTAAAGTAATGAAAGTATTATTCTCCTTAGTAAATTCTCTTAAAAAGTAATACTGGTTAACATTGTCGTTCGAATGTCGTACATATAAGAACTTCGTATTATAAAGTAAAAGAGGAGTAACGAGTCATACCTGAGAAAGGTTTGAATTGTTTCTTTATAGTCTTTTAACGTATAATTTCAGTTGGGTTTTAAGAGTATATTTCTTTCCATCGAGATTTATTTTAATACCCTCCATCATCGTATAGAGGAAATATTAACTTTGTTATTTCGTTTGTAACTCCTTAAATATTCATTTTAGAGACCTAAGCTGATTAAAACAAAATAATAATTCGAAGTGGCCTATATAGGTCTATGCTTGGGGATAGTCCTTCCGGTCTAATTTAAAGTAATACGCCAGTTTAAGCTACATCTCTCACCTAAATCGTCTTTGAATTAAAAGAAATTGGTTATTTGGAGTAAACGAAACATGTTTACAAAAAATTGCTCGTATTGCATTCAAGTAACTGTTCCGCTCTTGTAAAAAACCGAAAAAGTCATTTTTTACATAAAAAGTTTGAGTTTAAAAATGACCAATTTTTCGGTTATGTAGGCTCACTACACAAAGACAATTCAATGCAATGTAATCACGCCCTATAGCGCAATTATAATAAAAGCAAATAAATAAAGCATGATTTTAGGCACTTTTAAAGCGTCACACAACTATTTACTTTTTATAACAATTACGCGCCTAAATTTTTAAAGAGATTTTAAAATAGCTTTGTACATCGAATTTTAGTTACTTACTTTATATTTGGCAAAAAAAAAAAAAAACAATCAAAATCAGTTCACAAACAAGTTAAGAAGTAAAAATGATCTTGGTTGGGGGAGGTGCCAGAAGGAATGGTCCGACCTTTACCACCTTTACAACAGATCTTGTGTTGATAGAAATATTGAGATGTGCCAAGTCTGAATGGAATCAGATATTAATTCCGTTTTTTGTGAGCTTCGTGGATATTCAAAAAGTAAACCCTTTCTTGGTAGGTACTAATGAAGTGGACCGATATAATCCATCTTCACAGCAGTTCTTGTGTTGGTAAAAATAATGGGATGTGTGAAATCCGATCTCTACCATCTTTATAACAGATCTTGTGTTGGTAGAAATAGCGAGATGTGCCAAGTCTGAATGAAATCGGTTGTTATTATAGCGGTTTATGAGCTTCATAGATTTTCAACATTTTGTGGGACAGATATCAGAAGGAATGGACGATATATGCCATCTTCACAGCAGTTCTTGTGTTTGAAAAAATAATGGCATATGTGAAATATGAAGATATCCGAATACTTATTTCGGGTCAAAGTTTTGAATAACCAAACTTTGACCCTTTGTGGTGGAGATACCAGAAGGAATGGTCCGATCTCTCTCATCTTTATAACAGATCTTGTGTTCATTGAAATATTGAGATGTGCCAAGTTTAGAATGGAATCGGATGTTAATTTCTCTTTTTATAAGCTTCATGGATATTCAAAATGTTGACCCTTGCTTGGAAGGTACCAGAAGGAGTGGACAGATATATTCCATCTTCACACCAGACCTTGGATAGATAAAAATATTGTGATGTGTGCAATTTAAAGACAATCGGACTCTTACATCACATTTTATAAGAGTTATAAATTTTCAAAATATAATACTGATGGAATACTGATGACATAATACTGATGGAAATATTAGGATTTGCAAAGTTGGAGCAAATTCGGATTATCCTTTCACTTTCTGTGCAGTAAATTATTTTCTTTGAAAATATAATGGAATATCAGGAGACACCGTTACATGAATGCTATAGAAAAACATTGACCTATACATACAATGTTTCGCCACCGGAGCTAGAACCCATTGCGAACTACAAATACCAATTTTTAAATAAATCCGTAAAATACCGAATATTGTTAGGTGCCATTACATGAGCGCTATACCAATACGTGGACCTATACATACTATGTTCCGCCACTGGAGCTAGAACCCATTGCGAACTGCAATTTTTAGACAAATCCGTGGAAAAGTGTGGCAAAAATCCGAATACCGAATATAGGGAGATACGGAGGGTATAAAAATTAAAAGTGGAACCTCGTTTTCCTTATTATAACCATAATAGCAATTTAAACAGAGAGGTACCAAATAGGAATATGACGGCTATTCCTATTGTGAATGATATTCCATTTTCTTCCACTTTAAATAATGTGGACCTCGATAATTAGACTCCGAATTTTATGCTGAGCAAGACAAAATACATGATGGGATCTTCTAAGAATGTTTCCAACATTTGTTAAATATGGAATTGAAATCAAAAACAGTTGGCTTGGCAACGACGTACAACATGAAAACATCGAAATCCATAACATACTTTTAGGTGCATATTAAATTAGTTCAATTATCTGGGGGGTGTTGCCAGATTAAAATTTTGCATTTTAATGCTACATCCTTGCTACTCTTTTCTGGGGGCCTGGTAGTTTCATGAATTTTCAAGAAACCATTCGGGTAAAGAAAAAAAAAACAATATGGAGGATTGACAATTTTTTGGCCTTGACCCATCCACTGGGAGTTTAAACAACAAAACTTCGTCCAAAATTATGATTTTGTTTTTCTTTTGGAAAGTATCAATGTCATAGAATAAAAAGTACGTTTTAATTTTTTTTAATTAATATCCTTTATTTTATTTGTTGTTTTTTATTATAAATATACACATTTATATAATAATTTGGTTTCATTTAGTTTTTTGTTTTCTCATATTACATAAATTCATTGTTTAATGCATGTTTGTTTGTTGTTGTTCTACAATTTCTTTCAATGTTGATTACTGGGAGTAGTAGTAGTACAATTATATAATTAATAAAAAATAAATATCAAATTTTTAATTTTGAGGGTGCAAAAGTTACAAATATATGTTGAATTTTCTATATAAAAAAAAATAAACTACATACATTGTGTGTGTGTGTATTTGTGGAGAGCTTATATAAGCAGCATTTCAACATTTAAAGTAATCAATTTAGAGTAGTTACACATACATTGTTGTATTTGTTTGTCTCAATAGTTTATGTGTTTTAAAAATAACTTAAAACTACTAAGATTTTTCTGTTTCTTTCTTTCTTTTTTTATATTTTTTCTTTTATAAATTGAGAAAAATGCTCCTCTGTGTGTGTTCTAACATTTACAATAATAGTAATATTTAAAAAAAAAAATAAAAGAGAATTATAAACAAAATTCAACTAAAAACTAATCACATAACGATTTACAAATTATTTTATATAAAAATTAGTTATAGTTTTGGTGATCCGAGAATAGAGTAGTTACATACAAAACTATGTTTATTATTACATGCATAAGGTGGTGGAGATAGAGGAGAGGATAGTTTAGAAAATTTAATGAGTAGTTGGTTGATTGTTATATTTGGTTTTTTGTTTAAGCAATTTGTTCCTAATGGAATGGTTTTAATTAATGTCTACATTCGAACAAGAAAATCCGCAAATGGTTTACAGGTCACATAGCTTGTAAAACATTGAGGGGATATAATTATTTTTGGACCTACTTATTTTCCCCATCAATGTTGGACAAGCTAGGCAAGTTGTAAAGCCATTTGGATTTTTTTGGTATCACGCAATAGTTTAATGAAGTTGTGTGGGGGCAGATGCAAAAAGAGGCGGCTAGCAATTTTGTTGTTGTGAACATTGAAGTGCATTTTTGAATAATAAAAGTGCATCAATAAGTTACAACAAAATTGTTTTGTTTTTGTTTTTTTTAAGCTGGTGATGTTGTTATAATAAGGAGTGCCATAACATTATATATAAGTATTTATGTATGTATGTGCGTCTCTTTTTGTTTCTAAAAATTATGAGGATGATGTAGTTATTTGTAAATAACTTTGTGTTTGTTTTTGTTTTTTGTTTTTTGTGTGGACGTTTGTTTGCTCTTCTCTTAGTCTATCCGCTTAACGATGATGATAATGACGTTGTGTTTTTTGTTTTTATTTTTTAGATGCTATTCAAGAGGCTTTCGATTTGCTTAAGTGATTTCTCTTCCAGCAGGAAGGTACGATGGTTGCCTACAACTGTAAACACATTCACCGATTTTTTGCAGACCTGTGAAAAAGGAAAAACAAAAGATAAATTAGTGGAGAAATTTAAAAGGAAATCCAAATCCAAAATTAATTAATAAAGATATTTCAAAGAGTTGCCAGTCAGAAAAGTATCTACATTTATATAAAAAAAAAGAAGACTAATATCCTGACCCAATTATTTTGTAATGGGGATATTTCTTTTACAGGGTGAGGTGAAAAAACTGCAACCAACTTCAAACTGCTGTCATTTCTAAGCCACTTGTCCGACAGCTGTTAAAATTATTCCAGTGAGAGTTCATTATATTGTTTACAAAAGCATTTTGATGATGATGAATTTCCCAGAAATAAAGTTATTCGTGATGGAATTCAAGGGAATTCAAGGGAAAACCACAAGTGGCTATCGTTAGAGGACTCCAGCATTTAAATGTAAATAAATCTTTTGTGTCTCGTAACATCGCTTGTTACCGTGATACTGGTAGCGCAGCCCGACGTCAAGGAAGTGGACGGAAGAAAACAGCAACATCAGCAGAAATGGTTCGAAAAGTAAAAAAGCGTCTTGATCGAAACCCGCGTCGCTCTGACCGGAAAATTGGCTCATGAGCCGAAAATATCGCAATATTCCATTCGGCAAATATTGAAAATGAGCTCGGGGTAAAGCCATTGAAATTCCAAAAAGTGCAAGAACTTACACCGCAACAGAAAGAAAATAGACTCAAAAGAGCTAAAGAGTTGCTTCGCTTGGCCGAATTTGGTTTTCTTTGATCTCCGATGAGAAAACATCCGTTGTCCAGCAGTTTGTAAAGAAACAAAGTTATCGACATTCACACCTTGGACATAACAAATACCAAAGTGTCGATCACCTCAAGCAAGCGCTTAGCCGGGAATGGGCCAAAATACCGCAGAGCAACATTCGGGCAGCGTGTGACGGTTTCATTGGCCGTTTGAAGGCCATAATTCGTGTCAAAAATCACCAATTCTAACAAATCTAAACCTATTCTAAAATTTGATCCTATTTCCGACATTTTTTGCTTTCATTCAATAAATTGAAAAAAGGGGAAAAAAATATGACGTTTGACTTTGTTGCAGTCTTTTTATCTCACCCTGTATATCAGTCTTAGGTCAGATATGAATTGGACAATTGCTTCGGAACATACCCCATAAAGCGTCAACAGTTTGAATAATCAATACTCAAGGCTGGGGGTATACATCTGTCGGCAAAACCGACTGATACTATTTTTCTTGTTTTTAAGATTTTCTAAAGAATATTTTCTGGAACTTTTGTAAGAATATTCTTATCCCATATTTCCATTATCCAATGTCTATTTTTCTTTGAAATATCTTTTAACCAGCATTTCACTCTTTAATAAAAAATTATTTTCTTTCAATTTTCCCCTCCAAACTTACCTCATTGAGGCCATAATCTTCTTCCAATTTGGCGTAATTTTCAGTGGGTTTGACTAGGGTTACATCGCAAGATACCTTGCCAGAGGGCACATATTTGTCGGCGGCCAGCAATTTCTTGTAGAAGAAGATTGCGGCTTGTTTGATCTGCAAGAAAAAAAAAAAAAAAAACAAATCATTAGAAATATATTCCACCCTCTCTCTCCTCCCTCCTTCAACTTACCAATTCAACGGGTTGATTAATTTCACCGGCAACAATTTCAGCACACTTGGCCACCTTGCTCTCCCACGTGGGCACATTCAGCAGAACCTTGGCCACCAGACTGTAATCGATATTGGCCACAACCATACCGAAATAGGCCAAACCGTAGGCTTCATTCTGATCATCGGAGGTGTTGAGACGTTGTTTGAAATTCGTGGTATACCAGTTGACATATTTGGGAGCACCATCCAACATCACGAGGCGGGCCTGTTCCTTGTTATTTTCCAATTGCAGGACCATAACAAAGGCCACCAAGGCACCAAAGGAATAGCCAGCAATTGCATATGGACCCTTGGGTTGTACTGTGCGGATTTGTTCCAAATAGAAACTGGCCAAATTGTCTATGCTCTCGACATTGGCTTCGGCTGTACACTGCAGACCGTAGACGGGACAATCCAGGCGGGAGGCCAATTGTTTAAGGGCATCGGCAAAGCCTTCAATGGGTGAGATAAAGAACAATGGCCGTTTCTTGCTGTCTTCTGGGGCGGCCGAAGGCAAACGTACAATGGGCAATGTGGGCATCAGTTCGGTGGAGAATACAACCTGGGTGCCATCACCAAAGGCTGCACTGGGGCTGGGGGTACGACGGGCGGGTGAGGCAGCAGCTGCTTGGTCATTGCTTTCCGAACCACCACTTAACTCCTTCAGGTGGCCGAATGTTAGCTGTCTGATTTCCTGGGCGGACAGGATAATATCAAAGTTACGTTCCAGGGTCTGTTTAATTTCAGCACCCATCAGAGAATCCATGCCCAAATCAGCCAATGTGGCGGAATCTTGTACATTCTTAAGGTCTCGCAGACCAAGAATATTGGCAACGCAGGACACCAAACTGACACCGCCAGTTGTGTCTTGTTTACGCTTCTCGGCCACCACCATTGAGGCCAACACAGGGTGAGGTTGTTGCAGGAACAGATCCATGGTTTGCAAGCATGAGGTCATACGCTGGGGCAGAGTACCACCAATGATGGTGTCGTTGTCGCCGAGATTCTCAATAACCAAACCAGTATCACCAATGGCACCCCATTGAATGGATAAGCCGGGGAAGCCGCTGACCTGTCTCATTTCACAGATACGTTCCATGGCTGAGTTGGCCAGACCATAATTGGTTTGACCAATGTTACCACGACCGCACGACACACTGGAGAAGCACACAAAGTAATCCAATTCCGTGCACATGGTACGCGAGTATTGATCCAAATACTTGGTGCCTTGGACCTTGGAGTCGCACACAGTTTGGAAGTCTTTGACGGTTTGATCTTCCAGCAGGGCATCACGAAGTACGGCAGCCAAATTGAAGATACCACCAACCAAAGCCAACTTGTTGGCATTCTCCAACAACGATTGGCAACCCTTGGCTGTGGTGACATCGTTGGTGTCAATCACCACCTTGACACCGCGCTCCTGCCATCTTCTGATCATGAGAGCTTGATAACCGGTCTTAATGCCGGAACGTGAAGTCAGAACCAGGAATTTGGCACCACGGGAAACCAACCAATTGGTAAGTTCCAAACCGAAACCTCCAAGACCACCAACAATGATGTAGCTCTTTTCGGGATGCATGTAGGTGCGGGGAATAGCATTTACCAGGCGGGGTGTGGGTTTGAGCGACTTGCGTCCCTCCTCTTCATCCTTGACTTTGATGACAACCTTGCCAATGTGTTTGCCCGAAGCCATGAAACGGAAGGCCTGCTCCACTTGTTGGTCGTTGAACACCGAAGTGGGCAATGGGCGGACGGCACCTGACTTGATGCCCTCAGCTACCAGGGAGACGACTTGATTTTGCATAGCCTCTTCACCTTCCATAACACTGTCCAGCAGGATACCATGGAACGAGGTATTCTTCAAGAAGACGGACATGCCCAAGGGGGAGTTGTTGTTCAAATCGAATTTGCCGATTTCCAAGAAACGACCATTCAAACCCAAACAGCGTACGGAGGCTTGCAATTTTTCTTCAGCCAAGGAGTTGAGTACCAAGTCAACACCTTTACCTTGGGTCTGGCGCATAATCATTTGTTCGAAGGAACAGTCACGGGAGTTGCCAATATGGGAATCCTTCAATTGTGGGAACCGTTTCTTCAAGAATTCACGTTTCTCCACACTGCCGACAGTGGTGAAGACGGTAAGGCCATGATGCAAGGCTACGGAAATGGCAGCCTGACCTACACCACCGGAACCGGCATGAATCAAAATCTTTTCACCCTTCTTCATTTGTCCTCTCACCACCAAGGCATAATAGACGGTGGCATATACACAGGGTACTGTGGAGGCCTCTTCCATGGACCAGGAGTCGGGAATCTCCCACATCATGTTCTTGCTAGCCACACAAGTGGTAGCCAACGACTTGGCGGGTACCATGGCCATAATGCGGCGTCCCTTGGAGTCACGACCGGCAAATTCCAAACCCAAAACACAATCCTGTTGGGCTAAATCACCGGGCAAGGCATCAGCAGAGAGCTTGCCTGACGACAACATGACGTCACGGAAGTTGATGGGGGCATAGTAGACACTGCACAGCTCAAGATCATCACTCAACAGACCAGGGTTCATTTGTGGTGCCTCAATCCATTTCAGTGAAGCCAAATCACCCTTGACCAGGGCATTGACATAGGCATGCTCCACCTGCAAAGTGGCCACATCGGTTTCCAGTTTCAAATGACGGAATGAGCCCCAGGTGCCAGCCTTCAAGACGTTGTTAATCAAATCCTTGGCCAATTGTTGGGCATAGAACTGGCTGGACAAAGAGAACTTCTCGGCATTGGTATCCTGAATGAAGACCATGCGGGCCAATTTACCACCATTTTCATTCTTGATACAGTTCATGAAGCCAACAGCACCGAAGAGCTCTTCACCTTGGCACACCACATAGACGTAACGTTCAATTTCGGCAGCCTTGGCCAAAGCTTCCTTCAGTTCTTCCAACCACTCAAAGTTGTTTTCGGTGACACGTACCACGACAGCATCTCTTTGCTTGACATCGACTGGTTTGCGGGCCATAACCAAGACACGGGAACCACCCACCAATTGTTCGGTGATAACAATCAGGCCATGTTTCTTCAACAATTCACGTCCCGTCTTGTTGTAGGTGGCGACGGATTCTTCGAACATCAAAAAGCCATTCTCCTTAAGGGTCTGTACACCATTGGTCAAAATCATGGTGTCTGGGCGTGAGAGTACATCCAAGGCGTATAGGAAATGACAGTTCTGCTCTACCGGTTCTTCGAGAATATTCTTGGATACAATGCGTACTCCGGAGTCCGAGCCCAGAGCGGAGGTAATAGTCTCCTCATTGCCATTGGAAGTGACCACGGCAATGTCAGCGGTAATTGTGGGTTCACCTTCAATGATTTGCAACAATTTGGGGGCCATCAAAACATCGGGATTGCGGCCATTGGCCAATTCGACACCCTTTATCTTCAGGGCACCCTGAGAATTTTCAATAATCAGGTGGAGGGCCACAGTCAGGGCATGGAGACGAGCCTTCTCGGTGTTTTCGTGCAACTCGGCAGCGTTATTGACATAGGGTACGAAGGTGTAGCGTTCCAAGGTGGGAGGATTTTGGGAACCAGGTCTCTTTTGGGCCAACGAGGCCTTCAAGCCACGCATTTCAACACCACCACTCTTGATGACGGTAATGTCGTTGTACATGTAGACGGGCAGGCCAGTTTGGGTCTGCTCCTCAGCACTGAGTTTCGACAACTCCTCCAAATGTTTCAGGGGGTTGAGTACAGCCTTCTCAATGCGTGTTGGCAAGTAGAGTTCACGCAAGTTCTTGCTCAGGATACTGAATTGCAGCATGGTGTCCATGAAGCTGATCCAATTGTCCACCCATTGCAGGTTACCAGTGCTGGAGGTAGTGTCCGAATTGACAATGCCACGGAAGATACCACCATAATCATAGCCTCTCAAACGCAAATCCTTGTAGACATCGTTGGTGTTCAATTCCTTGGCCTGGGTATTGGCGACCAAGGGATCCAAGGGCAATTCTTCGCGTTCAACATTTTCTGCCAGGGAAATCTTGCCAGACATGGCCAAACTGCCACTTTCGCAGATTTCAAAGTTGCCGGTACCATCGAAGAAGTTAAGGCCGAATTTCACAACACTGTCCTTGTTGAGAATTGTGGCACGATGGAACACCAGATTCTCCATGACCACAGGGCACTTTTGGTATTCCATACCCTTCATTTTGGCAAAGGTCTTCCAGGCCAAAGTCATGTAACCAGTGGCGGGGAAAAGAATACGGCCGTCAATGGTATGGCCAGCCAAGAAAGCATCTTCGTCCTTGGAGAGATCAACCTCCACTACAGTTTCTCCCGATGTTGTCACTTTGCCATATTTGGGTACAAACCATTTTTGGGAATGATCCCAACCAAGCTTGGAGTTCAACATTGGGGTGCCACGACCCACGGGATAGGTGATGGGTTTGAACATGGTCAAGACCTGGGGTTGGATACCGGCAGCATACAATTTGCCCACATTCATGAGGAAGAACTCCACATTGTTTTCGTGGCCACGTTTCACCAAACTGATGTTGGTGCAATCAGGTCCCAAGGCTCTCTTCAAAATGGCCTGCAACAAGCCAGTGGGGGCGATTTCAATGGTCACAGCATTCTTGGGCACATGTTGCAAACCCTCGTAGAACAGCACGGGAGACAGCAAGTTGTTGACATGATAGGCGGCCGAAGATTGCTTGGCCACAGGTGTGTTCCATGCCGACTCAGGGATACTGGTACTGATCCAACGCGAGGTGCGGTTCTTGGCATTGGGGATGATCTTCTCCAAGCTCTTGCGTAGTTTGGGTCCAGCCTCAGCAATGTATTTGCTGTGGAAAGCATAGCCGGATGAGTTGACGGCCTTGGCAAAAATGCCCTCGGCGGTGAGTTGTTCCACCAGGGCGTCAATGGATTTCTCGGGACCGGAGATGGTACAGTTGTCGGCACTGTTGTGACACACGGGATAGCAGTCGGCTGGCATACGTTTGTAGGCCTCTTCCCAATCCAAGCCAATGGCAGCCATTTTGCCAGGAGCCAAGGTGGTGTCTTGCAAGCTCTTGCCACGCCAGTAGGCAGCCAAAACAGTCTGTTCAGGTGTGAAACATCCATCAGCATAGGCACAGCCCAATTCACCAACTGAGTGACCAATAATACCATCGGGCTTAATGCCCAACGAGCTGAGGAGATCGGTCAAAGCCACCTGCATGGCAGCAATGGAAATGAAGGAGTTCAAAATGTTTTCAAAGCTCTGTTGGGTAGATTTGGTCATGACTTCGATGAGATCAATATCAACACTGCGCAAAGCTTCGGCACAACGATGAATGGATTGGGCAAAGACCTCAAAGTGCATCAAGTCCTTGGCCATGCTGGCCCATTGACTGCCCATACCGGTGTAAATGTACCAGACTGGGCGATTTTCGTCGTTCATCTCCAAGACCTCACGTTGCAGGGAACCCTTGGTGTCCATGACACAGTAGCCACGGTAGTAGTGCAGGGGAATATTCTTCGAGTAGATGTCATTGATCAAGGCCAAGTATTCATCATCGTCACGGTGTGATACGGCATCTTCGAGCAGATCTTGCACAGCATCAAAAGTACGACCGGAGCAAACCACCAATTTTGGTGGTCCCACAGTTGGGGTAATGGCCTTGGGCTTGGGATTTGATTTCAAAATAACGTGGGCGTTGGCACCACCAAAACCAAAGGAGTTGATGCCAACAATACCACCTTCCCAGGGGGTGTTCTTGTCGACGACCTTCAAACGGCCATCCATGAGACCATATAGATCAGGGTTGGGATTTTTGTAGTGCAAATTGCCGGGGATGACACCTTCTTCCATGGCAATCAACACCTTGGCAATGGAACATACACCGGATGCAGGCTCAGAGTGGCCCATGTTCGATTTTACCGAACCAATCAACAATGGAGTCTGGCGATTCTTACAGAAGAAATCGGTAATGGAGTTGACTTCCTGGGGATCACCAACCTTGGTGCCGGTACCGTGAGCCTCTACATAAGCCACATCATTGGGATCCAAATTGATTTCTTCATAGGTCTCACGGATCAAACGGTTTTGCATTTTTCCAATGGGATAGGTAATGCCCTGTTCTTTGTAACCATCAGTGTTGGTGCGGACATTCAAGACGGTGGCATAAACACGCTTGGCATTGTTGGTTTTTTGCAAGAAGATGACAACGCAACCATCGGAACGAACATAACCATTACCGGATTCATCGAAAGCTTTGCACATGCCATCGGGACTCAACATGTTCAGGCGCTTGAATTGCAAAGACATGGTGGGTTTTAGCAGGACACCCAAACCAGCAACGACGGCATTGTCACATTTGCCGGCACGCATATCGGAAAAGGCCTGTTCCAAGGCATACAAAGAACTGGAGCAAGCAGTATCCACACTGTAACTGGGACCCTTAAAGTCGAAGGTGAAGGAAACGCGATTGGCAAACATGGCACGGGCACAACCCGTTAGACCATAGCCATTAACACGATCGGGATCAGCCATCCAATATTGTTCGGTTTCCGAAGACGAGACACCAACATAGACACCGGTACGTGAGCCACGGATTTCACAGGGGTTCACACCGGCATCAATGATGGCCTCATATGTACTTTCCAACAACATGCGCATCTGGGGATCCATGCACTCGGCTTGTTTCGCTGAAACGCTGAAGAATTGCTGATCGAAATTTTCCAAATCTTCATCCTTAATTTTGCCCAGACGCTCTGGTAGGCCATACAGACCCTTCTCCCAACGTCTGGGATCATCGTTGACCATGTCAACGCCTTCGAAGAGATTATTTTTGAACTCTTCGATGTTGGAACTTTCTGGCAGGCGACCAGAGAAACCAGTGATGGCAATGTCACTGGCAGTGGGCAAGGCGCGAGGACCATTGCTGTAATGGCCCTGCATATTCATGGGCACGGTGTGCTCAGTGGTGTCATTAATGACATCATCAGCAAAACGGGCGGGCATGTTGTTGCTGTTGTGATTAACTAAATTTGCCGCTGGCGAAGTTGTAGAAGAATGTTTTAAAAATGCAGATGAAGATGACGAAAGTGAATCTTTAACTACTACTATCTGCTGCTGTGAAGGGCCGTCGTGTTGATGATGGTTTTGTTGTTGTTGTTGGCCGTTTTGTTCTTGTGGGGCAACAGTGTTAGGCTGTTGTTGTTGATTTTGATGTTGTTTGTTACGCCTCTTTTTGCGTCGATTGGAAGATTTGCCAGACTTTTGTAACGTTGGCGATGAATTATGTTGGGTTTTATTATTTTTCGAATTATGATTTTGCTGCGGTGTTTGTTGTGCGACAGCTTGTAATGAATTAATTTTGTTGTTCTCGGTTTTCAACAGTTTGCCGGATGAGCTAAAATGAGAAGAATGGGAAAAATGTATGGATTAGTTAAAATAATTAAAAATAAGGGGTATTTTATTAGTAAATAATTGAATTTTTTACTTTATAGAATTTATCGACATTTACGTTTTTTTTATATATTTTTTTCTATCAGACTCTAGTTTTTCCTACATTTATTTATTCTACTGCAAGGCGTCACTTTCGTCTAAGCTTTGGGAAAATAGACAAAAATGTTGTTAAATACCCAATAAATTAAGTAACACCCAATAAAATTTTTCAAACATGTCATTGCACCCTATTGTGTTCAATTTTTTGCTTCATTACTGTTACAAATAAAACAGAGAAACCACATAAATCCACACCAATGAGAACATTGAGGTTTTCTCTTACACTCTGGTGAAAAATGTAATGTTAAGAGAGATTTGATGACCTATCCCCCGTTAAATTTACTTGAGAAGTGAGCTCCCATTTTTATAGCAGTTTTACAAAACAAAGAGAACCCACATAAGCCAGAGTATGAAGAGCTAAAATAGTTCTCTTTCACTCTGGTCAAAACACATGTCGTCCGCAAAAAAGAGACACAGGCCTTTCCCCTTAAATTTAGTTGAGCATTGGGGCTCCCCTATTTTTTTGCAATGTTCTTTTGCAACTTTCTCTTGCGCTCCATCTCTCTTTCTGTACCACTCACTCTCTGTTTATTTCTTTGATAGGTACTTTTCAAGTCGGGAATTAAAACGTTAGTAGTATACATTGAGAAAATCAGGTGATTTTTGGGCTAACAACAAATACAAACACGTAACGGACGACGACGCCGCCGCCAACAACTGTGGCTTTTGTTTCGGCTTTCACAATGTGTGAGGTTTGTTGTTGTTGATGCCCATTGTAGTTTTGGGGAAAGAATATGGCATGATTTTTTTCTTTTTTGGTTTGGTAAATGGATGCCGGTATTATTTTTTTTTTTCTTTGCTGTATAAAAATTGTGTATGTAGGTATGTATGTATAGCGATAGTAGAGCGCACAATCGCCAAACCAAGCAAATGTTTGCAGCCAGATGTTCCCGGCATTATTAAATTTATGTTAAATGCCAGCCAGCCATGCCCTAGAACAAACAACTTTAATTTCTAGCAACAAACGAAAGAAAGAAAAAAAAACGTTCGATAAAAAAGTGTGTCATAAATATATTTGAAGTTCATCGTGCCGATTGGAGGAGCCGGCTTTTAATGTTATTGCAAACAATGAAAGTTATCCAGTTTTAAATTCTAATTCCATAACCTACCTAACCACCTCGTGGAATGGAAATTTGCGAATGTTTTGAGTAATAATACAAAAAAATTTGATTGTTGGGAAGGAGTGCGGTTCCTAAAATGGTTTATTGTCGTTTGAAATTGCAAAAACAAATGTGCAGTGAATATTAAATAATTTAAATAATTATTTTCTTCTCGTGTTGATTTATTATTATTCAGGGGAGAAAATATATAAAATTTTTATTGTATATTATTTTAAGCAGACATTATTTTGAAGGTTAATATCTGAATATTCAGACTCACCATTTTATGAAAAGAAATTAGATCGATACGAACCTTTTCATCAAAAAATATGAGATACTCAAATAAATCGCTAAGAAAAATATTCTAATGCTCAAATACATGTTTCCGAAAAATTAGAAAAATTTAAGTTTACATAATTCAATCAATTTTTTTTAATTAACTATAATATATTTTTTTGGTATTAATTCAGAATATTTAAAAAATGTCCTCGTTTGTAGCTCAGACATTTCTTCAAAATGTTCCTAAAAACCCGAGTGCTTTCTGATAACGCTGATACCTACTGAAAAAAATACTCTTAAAAACACAAGACTGTTTTCTAAACCTCTGAAGAATATTTAAAAAAAATTGCTTTGATCTTAAAATTACCCCAAAATAATTTGCAAAACAATAATAGGGTCTAGAAGATTCGCCATTGCCGTCCGGTGATTCCTTATTTGTTTGTATTATCTCATCCGAATTCAAACGTTTTAATTTGAGATACATTTTTTTAACGCTTTCGGCGTTGTGTGTTCGTTCTTAAAGAGGCTGACGTAATTGGGGAATATCGCCTGATATTGTGGGGTATATTTCCACAAACAGGCATCATATTAATAAAACAACAACAGCACACAAATAAACAAAAAAAAAACCTACAACAAATTTCAAACGTGAAATGTTGTATTTCCCGGTTTTGTTATTGTCTTATCACAAACAAAAATATCGTAGAAAAATGCCATATGTTAACGTTTTTATTTTTGGCACACTCTCTCTTTGATACAAGAAGAGGAAACCTACACATAATTACTCTCACTGTCTCTATGCAAATGTTTGGTTTCCCCCCATTTACCCAAGAGTACAACTAATTTGCAAATGAATGTCAATTTTTTTTATAATTTGCAAGTTTATATTTGCTAATGTCTGTGTAAACATACCATACATACAGATATGTGTGGTATGTATATATGAATTTATGTTCAATGAATGTGGCGTGCTTTAAATAGGTAAATCCCTCTATGATAGGTAGAAAGAACAACAACAATAACCGTAAAGCAGCTAATGTCAATAATGGATGAGAGAAATATAACACGTCATATTGTCATCGTCGGCATGTCCATGCCATATCATGTTATTTATTAATCATACGATTAAAAAGAAAACAAAAACAATCACACGCATCTACTTAAATACACATACCTATATGTATACGTATGAACATATATAGAAAAAAAAAAGATTTACTTATCAACTAGGTGAGTGAATGGCTCTCAAATGCATGTGAGAAACACACATTTTTTTTTGCTGTTGTTGCATTGAACTTGAAATTTTTAATAATCACGCCACATTATCGTGTTTACTTTTGCTCTTCTTGCACGTTAGTAGTGTGTGATTGTGTGACGGGAAAGAGAGTAGAGTTGAGGAGAAGGATCTTGCAAGTAAAATAATATGCCGGTACGATTGCTCTGTTTACTTTGTAAACAAAAAAAGAAAACAAATTGGAGGGGGGAGTTGTTATTAAAAAAGTGATGCTAATAGCTGATGTAATTATGGGAATATTATCGCAAAATAAAAGAAAAGGTGGCATTCCAAGTTAGCATACAATTCATTTTATTGTTATAAAACTTCTTCCTAGAACAAAAAAATATTCAGGCATAATTTTTATTTTTTAAAATATAAATAAAAAAATATTAGCAGATAGCAACAAAAAATACCATTTTAAGAAGGAAATTAATTAAATCGTTTCCAAATATTGTTGAAAAATGTTTTAAAAATAGGCAATGCAAATACTGTATCGAAAGGCATTTCAATATGTAATAAAATAAATTAAATATTCACAGGGGTTGGCCAACTGTCGCTTGGACTAAGGGTATACAAACTACAACAAATTAGATTTTGACAGCAACAACATTGTGTTGTGCAAATAAAGAGCTAAGGTTTGCCCTTGTAAAAGTTTATTGAAACCTTAAACAGGTCTGTAAATGCATATCGTAACAATGCCATTGAAAGGTGGCATTCCAAGTTAGCATACAATTCATTTTATTGTTATAAAACTTCTTCCTAGAACAAAAAAATATTCAGGCATAATTTTTATTTTTTAAAATATAAATAAAAAAATATTAGCAGATAGCAACAAAAATACCATTTTAAGAAGGAAATTAATTAAATCGTTTCTAAATATTTCCAAAAATTGTTTTAAAAATAGGCAATGCAAATACTGTATCGAAACGCATTTCAATATGTAATAAAATAAATTAAATATTCACAGGGGTTGGCCAACTATCGCTTGGACTAAGGGTATACAAACTACAACAAATTACATTTTGACAGCAACAACATTGTGTTGTGCAAATAAAGAGCTAAGGTTTGCCCTTGTAAAAGTTTATTGAAACCTTAAACAGGTCTGTAAATGCATATCGTAACAATGCCATTGAAAGGTGGCATTCCAAGTTAGCATACAATTCATTTTATTGTTATAAAACTTCTTCCTAGAACAAAAAAATATTCAGGCATAATTTTTATTTTTTAAAATATAAATAAAAAAATATTAGCAGATAGCAACAAAAATACCATTTTAAGAAGGAAATTAATTAAATCGTTTCTAAATATTTCCAAAAATTGTTTTAAAAATAGGCAATGCAAATACTGTATCGAAATGCATTTCAATGTATTATAAAATAAATTAAATATTCATAGGGGTTGGCCAACTGTCGCTTGGACTAAGGGTATACAAACTACAACAAATTACATTTTGACAGTAACAACATTGTGTTGTGCAAATAAAGAGCTAAGGTTTGCCCTTGTAAAAGTTTATTGAAACCTTAAACAGGTCTGTAAATGCATATCGTAACAATGCCATTGAAAGGTGGCATTCCAAGTTAGCATACAATTCATTTTATTGTTATAAAACTTCTTTCTAGAACAAAAAAATATTCAGGCATAATTTTTATTTTTTAAAATATAAATAAAAAAATATTAGCAGATAGCAACAACAAATACCATTTTAAGAAGGAAATTAATTAAATCGTTTCCAAATATTGTTGAAAAATGTTTTAAAAATAGGCAATGCAAATACTGTATCGAAACGCATTTCAATATGTAATATAATAAATTAAATATTCACAGGGGTTGGCCAACTGTCGCTTGGACTAAGGGTATACAAACTACAACAAATTACATTTTGACAGCAACAACATTGTGTTGTGCAAATAAAGAGCTAAGGTTTGCCCTTGTAAAAGTTTATTGAAACCTTAAACAGGTCTGTAAATGCATATCGTAACAATGCCATTGAAAGGTGGCATTCCAAGTTAGCATACAATTCATTTTATTGTTATAAAACTTCTTCCTAGAACAAAAAAATATTCAGGCATAATTTTTATTTTTTTAAATATAAATAAAAAAAATATTAGCAGATAGCAACAAAAAATACAATTTTAAGAAGGAAATTAATTAAAACGTTTCCAAATATTGTTGAAAAATGTTTTAAAAATA